AGGACGTACTCTATTTATGTTGTGCCTCTGTAGGCAAAGACCTTAATAAATATTTTACATAATTTCTAATGACAATGAATGGAATTAATCATTTTACAGGTATAGTATTACAACTTATGTTTACTTTTTGATTTAGACATTTTCAGATTTTATTTCATGACAATTAAATATCATATACTTGGAAAAATGAGCATTTTTCTTAATTTCACACTAGACTTGATACCAGTGTCATTTTTCTCAAAGCACATTTTGAGCCTTTTGTTCCCAAACCACTAGGAAAGTAGGAGAAAGCTCTGTTGGAAATTTGCTCAACACAGGCTGGATATCAAGAGCAAATCTTTTCTTGGAGCACATAAATATTTTTCTGTATCCAGAAGTACAGACTGGATGTTGCATTTTTGTATAATATTAGAATAGTTACAAGTCAAAGGAGAATCATAACTTAGCATGCCAAATCTCATGTTCAATAAAGAAATTGCCTCATTATTGGTAATATTTACGTGTACTACAAAGCATTTTGGGGTAGGGTTGGCATTAATCATTTTGGGAAAATATGCTTAACCCTGTCATTATCTTTGTATAGTGATTCTTTTATTATCCTTTACTCTTTACTGGTTGCAGTAGAGCCATTTTGAATGAAACCTGGCACTATGTGATCTGGCACTATAGCAAACAGGTCCGTTTTGTCTCCTATTTGTATGCATTTGCTAATGATATCTAAACAACAATGGGGTTTTTTTGTTTGTTTCTAACTGCACCAACTCTAAAGGCACTTTATGTAACACATGGGAGTCATATCTGGTTTTTTATCATAAACTTTAATGTGATTATATTCCTTCTCACTGCACATGTCTTTCTGGTGCAATATCTATCAATTGTGAATTTGGCTGCTGCTGATGTATAAAAGAAAAAAACAAACAGAACAGATGTAGAGCTGAGCCTGCAGACATGTTCCTCAGCAATTGTTTTTGTGATTTATTTTTTACTTAATCACAAAGATTTATTTAATATATACTATCTAATCATTTTTGTTATCTATGACATGTTGCATGCTTAAACTATAATGTCTGAGTTGCATCTCTTTTGTGACAGATTAAAAGTGAAAGATTTGTATTTGATCCACTAAAGGTACATGGTTACAGTCCTGCCAGGGTAGGTTTAAGCAATTTAATGTTCAGTTCCTCAGACTGTGCCCACCTAGTTACCTGGAGAGGCTTTCCTCAGGACCCCTGCAGTGCTCCTGCAGCAGGGTGACACCACATGTGGGAACACAGCTTGTTCCACCCCTTACCTCTGCCCAGCAGCACAGGCAGTGCAGCCTGCATCCCAGAATGAGCAGCTGTCCTGCAGAACCTTGAACACCCTAAGTCTGGAAAAGAGCTCTAGTGCTAGGAACATTCAGAAAAAAAAGTCTGACCAAGCTAACATGACCAAGCTAACATGAGGAAGCATGAGGAAGGTTATTTTATTAGCTGAACACAGGTCTAGATTCATATGTTTTCCGACGTTCCTTTCTGACCCTTTAAATTTGATGAGTGAGCTTGACCATGAGAAAGAGGACTGTGTGTGAGATGATAGAGAAGCATCCCCTGCCTGTTCTGCTGTGGGACCCAGCCCTGCAGCAGTAGAACTGTCCTTCTGGTGCTGTCTGCACATAACCCAGTGTCAGTGTCCACAGGGGAGCAAGACCACTAAAGCCTCCATTATGGTGCCAGATGCCCTCTGGCCAGCCAGGGCCATCAGCCTCTGCTAAAATGTACCACACTCCTGCAACTCAGGTTTTATGGTTGGTGGCTGTTGATGGTAAACCCTGCAGCAGATACACCCCTCTTGTCACCCAGAAAGTTAAGCTCTTCCATACTGCGACAGAACCCAGAAAGTTACCTTCAGTTTTGCAATAAACTACAAGGCAAAGTGAGAAGCTTCCGCTCTACAAAGCAGCAGCTGCAGACAAACTGGGTGTTTTGCAGGGCCCTTTGAACACAGCCCTATCACTGAGTACCTTGAGCTGGCTTTCAGACTTGCATTCTAGGAGTTCTGGACTTCCTGAATAAAGCTACATAAGCTACATAAGAAGGAATCAGTCTAGGAAAAAAGGTGGCTACCACACAGAGCACGAATGCTCCAGAGACTCATCTCAGAGTCTTGTGCCTTTAACAGTACACTCTTGTATGCTGACAGCTCAGCCTGGTCACCACACATGGCCCAACAGTATTTGAAAATATTCTCTTCAACTATTTTTTTGTTGTTGTTAATAAGTTTAAATTTTAAAGGTGGTACTTAAACCATCACTTGTCTGCTCTTCAGAAGCCTTAAGGCCAACAATTCATAACCACTGAAGTCACAGCAGTCTGTAGCTGTCAGCTCCTGTTTAGACTGGGGCTCCCAGCTCTGCCATGTCAGGCTGAAACCCCTGTGCAGCACCTGCAACTGCTGCTTTTTGTCCTCTGCTCCAATAGTAACAAAAAAAAGGCAACTTACCCCAAGATTGATCTTACTGGTGTGTCTGTCATGCTGACCTCTACCTCTGCAAAGTCAGAGTGGAAGGCTCAGGAGTGCCACGAGTGCTGTGAAATGAACAGAAGATGCTGCTGTAAGCAAAGCCCCCAGGCAGCCCATCCCATGCTCAGCCCCATCATCACAGCATCTGCTGCCCAGGCTCAGGGGCCAGCACAGCCCATGACAGCACAGGGCCTGGAGCTGAGAAGACAAACAGCCAAGGAGGGGAAGCCTTTAGACTACACTTTCAGAGTTAAAAATAACTGATCAGAACCATGTGATTGCCAGGGCCAATTATCAGTAAGTGCAGTAGAAAAATGTAGATTACCAGATGGGACAGCTTAAAATGTATATTAATGTTCTTGTCTAATAAAACTCGTTCTTTTGTGTGTAAAACAACAAAGCCAAAAACCCTGCAGTCTTCACCCATCTGTTAATACATTACACTAAGGCATGCACATCTGAAGGACCCTGGGGCTGTGCAGCAGACACTGGCAGCATAACCCACGCTTCCCACCTGTCCCTGCACACCTCCAACAGTTTGTGTCCACCTTGACCCTGCGCTTACTTGGTGGGTTTTGTACTTTTCTGTATTACTATGACAGAGACCTTGCCTTCCCCCCCCCCTTTAGTTTTTTAATATGCAGCTGTAAAGACACACACAAAGTGTGCAGCTACACACAATGGTCCATGATCCATTTCTTTCTTTTAACCTGTTGTGTTGGATCTGAAGCAGTGGGTTTTTTCACCACCATGCAGCAAACAGGTTGTGGTTCTCAAAACCCAAATGGAAAACTGCAGACTATTATATTTCTCTGTTCAGTGTTTGTGAACATAAATTCTAAACAAAATTTAAAACTGAGATTATTCATATTTGCAAACATGCAAAAATGTCAAACATTCCAGATCAAATTCACACTTTATATTTTTTTAATAAGAATCACCTCATACTAGAAGGCTATTCAAAATTATGCTAAACTACCTGAACATTTATTTTTAAAGTACTACTTATAAGTAATGCTCATTTTCACAATTAATGCAGCTTTAAAGCAGTTGAATTTGATACACTGTGGGGAAAGGACACAGTAGTTTTTTCCATTTATTTTCTGAGAAGCAGTGAAAGAAATTATTGCTTGTTTTCCTGACAGCAAAAGCTCAATGTGACAAAATGAAGTTGTTGTAATGAAATGATGCAACTTAATTAAATATTTAATAAAGAATTATGGAAGCTACAGCATTTTATACTTCAAATATATTTGTTGTCTTACTGAAGCTTTGTTTTGTTACAATTGCCTTAGGGTCTCAATTTGCAGAAGGCTTTCACAACCCAGGGTAGCAGTTGTGTCTGGTTTATTTTTAAGCAATTAAACACACCATCCACATATTTTGCCTTCTGTAAAAGTGGTTCCCAGTGTTTTCCCTGCATTCAAAGCATTTCAGCTGAATTATACAGTATCCTTGAGAAACACAGGTGCTGGTACACAACTACCTTCAATGGGCACAAGTCCAGGTAACTTCACAGGGATTGAAAAACTACTAATGGTTCTGCTGCATTCTCTGAAGAAGCATCATTAGATAAACCACAAGCACTGCCCCTCTCCCAGCTCATTGCCATCTCCTCTGCTCCATCAGCATTTCCCATACAGGAGCTGTAACACACTCTCAGATTGCCAGAAGTAGTTCTATTCAAGAATTCCCCACTTCTGCAGTCACCACACAAAGCAGCAGACTTAGAAACCTTCCTGTTTCAGCCACACCTGGAATAGCAGTCAATGCTCTGGTATTTTTTTGCATATTTTCTGTTTGCAGCAGCACTTTCTCCATCCCACAATAATGCATGTGCTACAGAAAAAATAGCCCACTTCGAATTTTCAAAGACACCCAGCCCACAGAGGCCTACT